GTTGTTTTAATTACCCTCTTGGTGCTAGGGCTTTGCTCTAATTAATCTGAATTGATCCGCGTCGCACACTTGATTTTGGTGGGTAAGTCTTCCAATAAAAAATTTCTACATATGCAAGGACTTAAACTCGAGATTTACTTAAGTGATATCAAACTGTTTACCACTTAAATCAACATCATCGTAACTAATTAGTATTACTAATCTTATGCTTCAAACTATATATATATAACCATTCAGGGACCAAACAATGCTTAAAGAAAACAATTCTTGTCAATATTGCAATAAATTTTCCCAAAACATAGAGTCCAGAAAAAGTAAAACACAAAAAAGACTAAGGCAAAACCTTTTACTAAGACAAAACCTCTAAAGAAACTAAGATGACAGCTTAATTTTTTTCCAAAGCAGCTATCCGATGTTGCTCGGTGATCATTGCTGATTTGGTCCTGTTCCAACAACTGAGTACTTCTAAGATCAGTGCACAGGTTCCCAACAATGAAATTACAACAACGAATAACAATTGAGGCCAAGTCTTGATCCCCAAATGTACTATATGAAACCCCAACAAGGCATTGACAATGCTTAATCCAATGGTGCCATATCCCACTGTGTAGTGAAAGATCTTGAAGTAGACCCTCTTTTTATCTTCCTTATGTGGCCTGAAATACCCTATTATCCCTTGAATGCCACCAAGACAAAGAAGGGTAATCCCAATATATTCATGGCTTTCGCCTCGAATTCTAACTCCATTGCCCCCAACTCCAAGCCAAAGCAAAACACCAACGATCCCACCACCCAAACCCATCAAGTAAGCTGCGCACTGAATGTAAACATGTGCTTTAAACCAAGTAGTGCCTACCCCTTGCTTCCCATGCCTTGCTATTAAAGCTCCAGTAGGCATTAGAAGACAATATCCCAATATGCATAAAACTCCATGAAGTATCTTCCATCGGTTACTTGTTTTGTGTACAACGATCTTGCCCGAAAGAAAATCCAGGGTTCCCGTTGAAGCCATGTTGGGACCGGACAGTCGGTGTATCCCAGGAACATTGTCGACTAAGGGTCCTTGTTGCCAAAGGTGGTTCACGGTTGTAGCGTTGGCGGGCAACGTCAGAGTTGCGAAGATGATCATCTCGTTGCCGTCGACGATCGAGGAAACTCCATTGACGGGGAAACTAAGGTCACCTTGTTGAAGCTGAGTTGCGTAACTTGTTATAGGAGAAGTATAAGCCATCATTGTTCCATCGTCTCTTTGGAAAGAGACCAAAGCTTGTGAACCCACCATGCCTTTCGAGTGAGGATTGATAGCCCATGAAATCCATCTTGGGTTTTGGTCGACGCTGCTTTGCCTGAAGGCAATATCGACTGTTTGAGACGACGAACGGAAGTTCCAATGAAGTGAGCAATTTAAGGAAGGTAGGTCGGTGCATGAGGCAAAGGTTTTGCCTTCATGAAAACGGTGGTTGCCGCAAGGTTCAGCGGCGGAGAAGGTGCAGATGAAAAAGATCAGAAAGAAGAAGAAAAAGGATTTAGAAGTCATTGGAGACTATGGATGAATGAAAGACGAAAGGTTTTCAGCTTTGCTCCAGCTCTTCGGGCTTGTTATACAAGCATAGATAGTCGGTGTAGCAATTCCCTTCTCTTTGCTTTTCATAAGTTATTGATACTAATTAAAATCATAACTTAAATTGGTGTCATACTTTAATTTAGACACCGATTAAGTAGGAATTATAAATATACTTTTTTATAATTAAATATATAGTTTTTTAAACTATAATAAATGCTATTGTATGGAGGAGATGTTCTCTTAATTTTCATATTATTTATATATATATATTAAAATAATTTCATAAAAACTTTTATTTATTGAAAGACTTTACCTTTTAAACAAAAAAATCATACTTCGCGTACGTAACGTTCAAACCTAAAACTAAGATTATTTAGTTTGTGTAAATAATAATAAAACTTTTTTATTTCATAAGTAAAATTAAAAAATAATCACGTCTCATTTATTAATTTTTACTTTTTGTTAAATTTAGTTATGATAATTTTTTAATATGTTTGTAGAGTTAAATTATATATTAATGCCGGACGCTAGTAACATTTTTCATTGTTAGAACTGCATAATTCGAGTTAACTGTATCATATGTTCCTAAGTTATAACTTTATTTTAAATTAATCCTTAAATTTTTAAATATTTTAAATTTATCCTCAAATTATAACTCTCATTTTTAATTAGTCATTAAATTTTTGAACATTTTAATTTCATCCCTAAACTATGACTCTCTTTCTATATTGTTCCTCAAACTTTTGAATATTCCAAATTCATCCTCAACTTCATCCAAATATGTAATTAGTTTCAACTATAGCCTAACCTAATTCCCCCCCCCTCAAACATATAATAATATAACTTGGCCCAATGATTTTATTAACAAGGATGTGATTAGTATATACATACAGTTTGGAATGAAATTAGAATGTTCAAAATGTTTGTGGACTAATTTAGAATAAAGGTTATAGTTTGGGATGAAATTGAAATGTTTAAAAGTTTGACGACTAATTTAGAATGATAGTCATAGTTTATGGATAACATTGGAATATTTAAAAGTTTAGGACCAATTTAAAATAAATATCATACTTTGAGGACATATCATGCAATTAACTCATATAATTCACATTGTAAGAAGATTATATTGGCCAATGTTCTTCGGACAAGAACATGAGAAGTAATCGTAGATATTAAAAAATCAAATCCAAAATGATTGCATTAATAAGTTAGATTAAACCCTAAACTAAAATTAAACCCTTTAAATGCAAAATTATTTCTTGTTCAGGTCAACATTTTTTATTATACCATCTTCCGTTGAAATGTTACAGTCTTCAACAGGAGCGCAAGGGCCGCAAATTGAGATTCAAAACAAGTTATTTCCCAAGTTTAATCTTCCAGAAAACAAAAACCTTTGAAGCTATCATCCTTAATTGTTTCTTGTTAAGATGGATTTTGAGTTAGAAACTGCTTTTTCGCCATAAAAACCAATCCTTGGCATCCCTTTAGGGATGATCATCGATCTGCAAAACACCAGGATCATCACCAACTCCGCAAGGAACCACATGATACTGATGCATACGAAAACGGTTCTCCTCCAATGCCAAATCATCTGTTTCGAGCGATGGAGTTCGGATTCGAGAGCAACGGACGCAGCATAAACTTCGGGGATTCCTACACCAGGTTGGAATTCTGCTCGCCGTTCGAGTGTAACTTTCAAGGACGTGGTCGGATTGAGTCCTTTGGTGAATTCATTCATCTTGATGTTCAGGATTTGGGATTCGGATCGGTGACCGGTTATGAGAGGAATGGCGTTGATAACGGTTTCAGCGAGACGGAGAGTTTGGCTCTTGAACCGAAGCATACATGGATACCTCAAAGCAGAGGTGACTTTGCCGTTGGCAGATAGGAACTCAGCCCTCACCTGCAAACATGAAACAATGCTTAGTAAGAATTTTGCTGAAAGTTCATCGATTGCATGAAAGGTGATAATTTGTACCTGGAAGACTCCAAGTTTCCGGTTGTATTCAGATTCGGGTACTGTCAATTAAACAGTGAGCTGCAGCCGATGATTTTAGGGGATAAAACAGGGACCGATCTCCAAGCCGAAGTTCGCATCATCTTTTGTATCATCTCCAACACCAGGTGAGGACGGTAGCAGAACGAAAGCGAACGGGCTCGGTTTTGTGTAATCAAAATTCAGTGTTTGTGCTCTTTGGATAGGTTTCACCAACAGGCAAGGCATGATGAAACTCCCAATAGAAAACCTGACATTAGCAATCCAACAAGCATGAAACAAACATAGGATGACCAAAACAAGGCAAACCCAAACCTCAATGCCAAGTTCCCTATCGAGTTCTTAGCTTTGGCTTTAACAGTTTTTCTAGTTTGATCCAACATCCCGATCACTTTTCTCTTGAAATATACTTTGATTTGTCTCACAGCTTGTAATGGAAACACCAAAGACATGAAAGCAAAATAGGAAAACCAGATTGGAACTGTGAAAAAGCTAATTAGAAGATTGAATTGAAACCTCATAAGTCTGATCATAAGAACTGGAATAAAAGCAACAAAATTCATGAGGAATTCAGCATAGGAGAATTCATGCTTCCATGATTCTTTACAGCTGCTATTCTCATTTTTTGGATTTTAAATACATTCCCCTGGAGAAGAATTCAGGCCATTGGCAAATGGATTCATTTTCCTAGATTTTGCATCTTTCAACAACATATCAACCCCATCTTCCAAGAATTTGATCAAACAACATTTTATCACTTCAGATAGACTCTGTGAGTTCGTATTGTTTCTGATGTGAAATTCTGGTTGATCACCATTGTTTCACTAAAGGACTTGGAGGACAATGAATCAACTGTATTATGAATTTTATAAGGTGGGAATTATAATGACAAGGTTTATAACTGATATTTCCTTCGGATGCAAAAAGCTTGGAAAGGTTCAATTCGTTGGTCAACTAACCAATGGGAAAGCTTGGATCTTATTGGACGTTTGTGATCGCTTCATCGGATATCAAACATTGTAGGTGCAGAGGGTGAGAATAAAATGCAGTATGACACATTTCAAAGCAATATTTGTTTAATATACGCTGCGGCCGTCAAGCTTTAACCATGGAGATGGTGAGTCAATCGTGTATGTAGCTGTAAAGGTTGATCGATCGGCATGTACCGTTATACTAATTCAATCTGTTGAAAACACGTGCTTCGACATATTAGTTGTGTATCGTATTGCTGAGCCGATATATAATTGTTCCGAATTCACCTGAGGTTCTCAAGACATACACATACACATCACACACACAACAGATGAAACATGATTTGCAGATGACAAACAACCATTGTATGTTTCATTTCAGGAACAGGAAGAAAGTCGAGCAGCCATATTACATTCTTTTGTTCAGGTATATGGTTCATCTAGATCTATATAACAAGTGCAACGATAAAACAGAAGCATTAACCAAAATTTTTGACCCGATAATCTCATAAAAACCATCAGATGTATATCCAAAGTTGGATCAGAGATTAATATAGTTACCACAGGTAGCATTCTGATATTCACATGTGGTGTCATTTAATTTATGTGCAATGCAGCTCTATATACACTTCAACCGAAGGCTTTGGATGTCAAACGATCAGAACTCGATGACGTTGTTTATCTGAACAGAAAAAGATGGGCGGCCAACATTGGATAGAGGTGTGTCGACTCTCACTACTATCCCTGACTTTCCGACATTTCCGTTCCACTTAGAGCGTCCAAACTGCATGATTGGTAGACAGAAAATGAGTATGGGCACCACCATCGAGAAGAACACTCCAGAAAAGAATACAATTCTAGAAGCTGATTAGCACTGAAATGCTGACGAAATGGAATCCAAGTCTGGTATTAGCAGAATCAGCAGTTTTTACGACTTTGGCAAATCCAAAAACTCTATATATGAAATGACCTTTAAAGCAGATTTTGCAATAGGGTAAAACTTACTGATATTGATGCAAATGCAGAAGGATGTGCCGCCAGAGCACAACCACAAATCAGATTGATATCCTCCTTCACCGTGTGTATAACTTCGGTTTGCAACCCCGGATTACTTCCACCAAATGTTGGAAACAAGCTGATAACAAATGTAGAAACTAACCAGTTAGGATCATGCAAAATGCAAACGGAAAACACAAACAATATAGATAAACAAATACCGCATAATAACCAGAACAAACATGTATGTAGAGTGAAGGTGAACCATTGAAATTAGTAGAGACTCACCTAAATTGAATGGATGGCCTCATCATGAGCCCCGATTGCCTCCAAGCCAAGGCTTGTGAAAGACCAAGGGTAAATGATTTGTCTGGCCATTGGACCATTGGTGTGATACGAGTTCCCCACTTATTCTGATGAAATATAGAAACAAGAAATTCAGCACTCATAAAAGGCACCCGAAATGGAATAATAAATCCCAGAGACAGATTCAAATAACAAAATCCAAGCAGATTACTTCTTTGCTCCCTGTTATGCAGGTAAAAGCTCAGGAACTGACCTTGCAGGAGAAGCTATATCTCATTTCTCCTGGATATTGGCCCTGTGCCTGAAGAAGTCCCCCACAAAGAGGTAGGAAAGCACTTGTTGTCAGCCCCTCACCAGATATATACGTCAATTGTCCATTTGGAAATTGCAAATCTACAAATGACTGTGTGAAGAAGGAAGAGTTTAGAAAGAAGAGAGTGGTTATGTTAGAAAATCAACATAAAAACTTTCTCAAATATCTGATACTGAAAGCTTACGACCTAATGCTTATTACATCTAATTAGCACAGTTCAGTGTTCACTATTTCCTATGAATGTTGTTTAAAATATTTGGTGGTCTTTAGTGTGAAAGAAGAGTAAAGTATTTGAATCAACAATCTAATTGCAATAAAGATAGAGAAAACACAGGTATTTTAGAAATTCAGAGTGTTGAAACAAAAGTATGAACACTGTACAAAAAGATTCATAAGCAACGCCAACTTACACAAGCTAAAGGCTTAAGGCAGAGCATTGACATTAATAGCCACCTCCTATGCTTTGACCATATTGCTGGACAAAGAGAATGCATTCCATTCTGCAATCAAGAAATTATCAGCAGAGAATGAAATACAACAATTTGAGAAACATAAGAACATAATGCTCAAGCCGTACTATCTGCTTTCAGGTTTCAATATACATGCACAACCATGTAAAGTGAATATGTGTCTTATCAGCAAGAAATAATGATGTATGAAGTCACCTAAATGACCCAAACACTTAAATATGGGAGGGAAGAAAAAGGAAAAAAATAATAAGAATAGAATTTCATCATAATGGAACTTAACCTTAAAGCTTTTATTGCAACCTAAGCAAGATCCTAGATCAGTTCAGATCCAAGTACATTCAATTGTCCAGATTTCTAGGAATTTTATTCTTCCCTTAGCATCTTTATATTCTAGATGAGATTTATCGTCTCCTATTACAATCATTAGAGAGCCTTATAGCATTTTGTAAAAAACCAACAATGATAGCTATCAAAAGATTCTAGGCTAGGAAATTCTAAACATCAGACTAAAGACCAAATGATGTATCGTTGGAAAAAATCCATAGAAACTTAATGGTATTACTATTACCACATCGAGCATAACTCTCAACAGTTTAGTTCCATAAGGCCTTGGAGGAGTAAGCTTAATAGAACATAAATGCAAATTTCTTGGTGCTCCTGTTCGCTACATGTAAAATCTTACAGCTAGCAACGATTATTCCATGAAATTATTGTCATACCTTCCTATCATAGCCGTACCAAAGCAAATGTTGCTTTGATAGATGGACTGGTAAAAGAAGTGTTGTGTCCCTAACGAAGAGTACTGGTCCAAGCTGAAGAAGAAACAAAGAGTTGTCACTCCCTGATGTAGAGCTGCCATTTGATGCCTCTACTCTCCATAGGTCTCCCCTTGCAACCAAATTACTTTGTAAATCTCGTGTTCTACTCTCATATGTTGAGGTAATATTTATGAGCCCCTGCTGCCAACAAAGATTAACCACAACGAAACAGAAAAAATCAATTAGAATATATATGAAGAAAGTTATAGCCAGTCAAAAGCACAAATAAGTTTCTCATTCAGTTCAAAATGAAAACAAAATGAACATGCCGTTATCCCGTCTTTCTATTCATTTAATGGGGGAAGAAAAATACTCATAACTTACACTAGCTAAATTATGCCAAATAACATTTCTTTTTACCACTGAGACTACTCATTATGTTCTTATATCACCCTACAAATGTAGCTGCTCGAACCTAAGTCCTCAAGAGAAAATAACCCTCCATATCATTGCCACCCACCTGAATGGAACACACAGTTCACTATTTCCTACCAAGGTCATTTAAAATTTTGATACCATGCGATATTAAGGCTCAAATCCATGTCCTAAAGAGAAAATAACATTCTATTTTACCACTCAATCAATTGTAAAGAAAACAACATAGTAATTCTTCTATCAGTTCTATCCATTTTGGTTGCAAAGAAAAATGCCCAAAAACGCATCAGCATATGCATCAATTATGTATTATAGGCCATTTCCTTTCTCATTTCCAGCTATTAAGCCTTGTCACTTGTTAACATTTCAAAAACAACATAGTAATTCTTCAGCAATTTAACACAAAATAAATCCATAATTCAAGCCACTAGCTTTGCTCAAAGATTCTCATTTTATTTGTTTGTTTACCTGACTTCTCCTAAGTAATCCAGAAGACTTCAAATTAAACCCTGAAACTTCTTCATCCTCCAGTCCCTCCGAACCATTCTCGTTTTCAACGAACTCTAAATACTTTGATCGATCTGGAAAACCCACCCAACCCTCCATATCATTGCCACCCACCTCAGCCTTCTGCCGGTTTAAAATCATATCACCTCTAACAGGCAAAACTGCACTCTCCTCAGCACGAAAGGGGATGGGCAAACTCCTGAAGAACTGCTGCACTAATCCATTTAAGCCGGCACTGAAATCCGCCCCGACTCGGCCAATCGTGTTCCCAATCCCACCGATGTCAAAAATGGCTGACTTGTCAATGGGAAGGCCAAAATCCTTTTTGACAAAGGATTGGGAAGCGAACTCGAGGTCGAAAAGCATGGACTTTGGAGGGTTTGGCCATGGGAATGAAGGTGGGTTCATGTGGGAATGGATTAAGCCAGTAAAGCCTTGAGCTAGCCGATCGGCAAGGTCCTGGCCCTGGCGTTGGACCTCTTCCCAGGCTTCAAATGACCTTTCTACTGACATGAAGTAGCCAATCTAAATAAGAAAACAAAAACTAAAAATTGGGTTCTTTTGAGTAGCTAACCAATGGATAAGAAATTAACCCAAAAGCTTAAAACATTCAAAGTCGATAAATATTGACAATTTTCAGTTTTGAGCTCAAACAAATGCGTGCCTTAAACGTGTTTATTTTCCCAACTTTTCAATGGAAAAGTCAAGGTTTCATACGAAAATTAAACTTTGATATCAACCCAGCTGATTAAAATAGATTTTAAGAAACAAACAAATTCAGCTTCAGTAAAGCTGAAATTTCAAGGTAAAAGCTTTTAAAAATATTAAGAAGAAGGCAGTGGAACAACTATTCAGGCTTGAATCACATTTTTTTTCGAAAAGAAAACTATAAAAACTGTATCTTTTGAGCTCCAAATAAGGGGGAAAAAGAATGTCAAATTAGGGTTCTAAATTTGATGTGTTTTGAGAGAGAAAGGGGGGTCACAAAAAGTTGAAGGCGAAGATAAGGTGTACAGAATTTAGTAAAAAAAAAACCCCACAGTGAGGGAGTATGAAGAGGAGATCAAAAGAGGAAAAAACCTAAAAAATCTGCAACAAATTTAAGGTTTTAAGAAGATGGTAAAGATTTGGTTTTGTATTTTTGCTTAATTTAAAGTTGGAGAAAAAAAATGTCTGAAAAAGGAGGGCGTTTATTATATTTTGGTTTGGTTTGGTTTACTTCCACGTTGATGAATATGTGTGGCTATTGCCTATCGGGATAGTGTTTTGTTTTCATTTTGCTTTCCAAGTAAAGTTGAAATTTTTATTGGGGCCTATTCATATGAAACAACAACACTGAGAGATTGCTTACAGATGAAATCCAACTCAAATTCAAACTTAGTCAAATTTCCTTTTCCTTCATTGTTTGTCATCTGCACTACTTGCTGGTACTATTCATGTTGATAGTCATGTTGATAGACATCTTGATAATATCCAAATACGGATAATTTGATTTATGATTCCAGAATATAACACATTAGCTGTAAGTTCAATGTATATATTGTTTTGATATGAATGAAGAAAGTTTCGGTCATAAGCTATATTTTTATTTGAAGTTGATGTGAAACTTAGGATAACAATCGTGATTGAGATGATTCTATACAAGTTTCTATTGCAATATATTAAATGGTAAGTTGTAGTCGATCTATCACAGGTATGCAAAAGAAGCACCGATGTGGAGTTGTTGGAGAACCACTGGACCAAGACCAGTGAAAATATATTAGGAATTGACTTATTGACGGATAGCCCTTTATTTTTGGAATTCAAGGCTTTAGAACTGTTGTTCTCGTCAATAATTGAATTGCATTCGTCATTAATGGTTCATCTTTTCTGATTTAAACAGAAAATCATTGTTGGCGTCATTAGCGGGTAATTCTGTGTAAGAGTTGGAGAAGAAAGACAGCGTGAGAGAGAGAAAATGGAGTGAGGAAGATAGAGAGGAGAGAGAGTTCATCATTTGTCTGTTAGGCTTTTATGTTGATCCTTTGACGGTTGGTATCATGCATAGGACCATCATACCTACGAACGGAGGCATCTCGACTCTCTTGACTATAAAAAAATATAACATAACATATTTTAGAAAAATCTAGACAATGAGTAGAGGCGTCCTTACGTCAAGAACATCTCAACGCTTGCAAAAATGGAGGATAATAGTTCTTATTTAGCTGAGGAGTTCCGACCTCTCCAGTAAATATCTCGAAAAGACACATCCAAAGATATAAGCTTACTCGGGATAGAGGCTCTTGCTAAGAGTGACATTTCTTATAGAGAATAACAGCTCAACACGTAATTGAGGCATCTTTGTCGTGACAGAAACAAGACAAAAGCAGGGTAAAAGTAGAGACATCTCGACTCTTCGAGTATATCCGTAGACTTATGCAGGGTAAAAGCAACTCCACACCCTTGGAGGCGACTCATAGTTTTATAAGTACGGGGGCCAACTCTACGGGTGGAGACATTCGGTCAGACATAGGTGGCAGCTGCAGAGTTACTATATCAAAAGATAGGATTGAGGATTCTCAAAATGTCAGGGAGAGATAACATTTTCGGATAGATCCAATTAACGGGTGAATGTATTTTTGCCTTAGTGAAAACAAATGACACAAGCCAATTCTCTTGTTGACAGGACAAAAGCATCTCAACGCTATAATAGTTGTGAACGAGTTATCCAGAAAGATTTCAAAGATTATGATCTCACCCTCTGAATGTGGAAAGGTTAGCATAAGGGAAGAACATTGAAAATGTTCTCTTTTTAAGAAGCTGTGATATTCGAACTGAGGTGTATTATCCTAAAATTTCCCAAATATATATGAATTTTACTTCATTTCTTTGAATGTGGAGGAAAGTAATGTTTAGTCCTACCTAGGAGATCTTGATTTTCAGAAAGCTGATTATCATGTCAAACATAGTCCCAATTTATTATTGAATATTGCCTGGAGAAAATCCTTTTATCTTTGAAGTGGCACATCATCTGGGTTTGATAATTGGTGCAAATCATCTGACTTTGTGAATATTTTGTCATGGACACTGATTATTTTCTTTTACTTTGTTTTTACATTTGCCTTCTGTACAGTGTTTTCCATATCATTAAGTACTGTAATGCAACTTTAAAACTCACATGGACAACAAAATACAAACATTTAAAACACATACTACAACCAGGCACTGTTGAGCAATTATCTATCTTCCTCGATGATATTTTTGCTTGAATGTCCTTAGAACTTTGTTGCCCGCTCGTTGAACCATTCCAACAATCCATTTTGGTTTCCCAATTTCCATCATTATATATCCTGCAGAGAATCCAAACACTGTTCCACATCCATAACTCATCATCACGATTTTCCAGTCTAATCCGAATGCGGAATCAGCTTCTGTTCATCAAAAGTTGTTGCTGGTGGTGGTTCACTGTGGGCACAACTTTCTGAAACAGGAAATCCGCACAATCCTGGATTGCCAACGTACGAATCATTCTGAAAGGTATTGAATTGTTTTCCCTTAGGAATGGCCGAATGGGACCAACAAGCTGGTTCTCTGACAGGTTTAACACCGCAAGAAAGTTCAAGCCACTCAACTGTGAAGGAATTTTTCCAACAAGTTTGTTATCGGAGAGATCTAAAGATTCAAGTGCTTTCATATTCCCTAATGAGGAAGGAATGTGACCAGTAAGATGGTTATGAGAAAATTTGAGCACTTTGAGAGAAATAAGGTTTCCAACTGTTTCTGAAATCGTTCCCTCGAATCGATTGCTTGACACATCAATGGTTGCAAAAATAGTGAGAATTCTCTTAAGCTCGATGTCCACACCTTTCATTGTGATAACCACAGAATCTTCATAGTAAGAACTCCTATATCCCATCTGAACTTGAGACAAATTCATCTTACTTTTGAAACATTTAAAGTACGATGTTGGAAGAAGTCCAGATAACTCATTATAGGAGAGATTCAAGATTCGTAAACTCGAGAAATCCGATCCATTTTCTGAAGGGCTTATTCGACCATGGAAATGGTTGGCGCACAAGGCAAGAACCTGTAGCTGAGGAAGAGTTCCTATCCAGTGGGGAAATGTGCCATTTATCCTCTTGTTTCCGAGATTCAACACTTCCAAATACCGGTAGTTGACCAAGGATTTAGGTACTGGCCCGTCAAAATCATTATCGTTGAGGTTAAGTGTATTTAACATGTAATCCTCACAAAAATCAGGGATGTATCCATGAAAATGATTCATCTGCAAATATAAACGACCAAGTTTTGCATAGCTCAAGCATTTTGGAATTGCTCCACTCAAGTTGTTATGAGACAAGAGTATCAGAATCAAACCCAATATTGCATATAGAAGATGGAATTTCTCCAATCAATCTGTTGTTTGATATTAAGAAGACTTGTGTGGAAAGTGGTGGTGTTAGAATTGGACCTTCCAGCAGATAATATTTTACAGCTGTCAGCAAGTTCTTAGAAATATCAAGGACTTGTAGGTTGCTTCCCCAGTTGTTTTCTTGTTCTGTAATACGGCCTCGAATGCTGTTGTTTGAAAGATCTAAACGAATCAAACTCTATTGAGTTGTCAAGAAATTTGAAAGTTGGATTATATTACAAGAAGAAATGAGAAATGTCATAAGACCGGGCAAGAAAACAGAAAGATTGTTGATGTTGCTGAAGGATAGAGGACTGTTGTGTGAAAGATCCAGTTCTTGAAGGTTTTTAAGCTTTACAAACATACCGGCCTCGACAAATCGGATTTTATTGTGAGAAAGGTCTAGGGTCACCAAGCCTGGTATATTTCTTACAAAATTTGGGAACTCACTTATGTTGCAAGAAGAGAGGTTTAATGTCGAAAGATTTGGCAAAGAGTAATTGGCATTGCTTGCACTGGTGAATGATAGCAAAGAGTAATTGGCATTGCTTGCACTGGTGAATGATAGCAAAGAGTTATCTGAGAGATAGAGTTGCTGAAGTTTACCGAACCTTGATAGTTTGTCCAATTCAAAGCTGCCACTCAAATTATTTGAAGAAAGATCAAGAAGAGTAAGGTTCACAAGTTCGAAAACTGGATCGGGAATCGGACCGGTAAGCTTGTTGTTACTAAGCATCAACCTACCCAAAGATGGGAGAGAAAACAACCAGGAGGGTACCCTGCCACTGACAAAGTTGTGGTCAAGGAATAGATCAACAACTCGAGAAAGCCCGCTAACTTGAGAAGGAAGAGAACCGAGCAAGTTATTATATGAAAAATCTAAGAATTCAACTTGTGGGAGGTTGAAAATTGAGAATGGAATAAGACCACTGAGTCGATTTTGTGAAAGAGCTAACGTTTTGAGTTGTGTGAGCTTGCCAAGTGATACTGGAATTGTACCTGTTAAATTGCAATAAGAAAGATCCAATACCTCCAGAGATGTAAGATCCCCGAACTCGGATGCTGTCGGGGAGGAGTTGAAATCATTGTAAGCAAGGGAAAGCTCCTGCAGATGGCGGAGGCGGAAGAGAGTGCTGTTAGAGGGGATAGGGCCGACAAGGCAGCTGCAACTAAGATCAAGGCCGATCACATTCCCTGTTTCAGTATCACACTTAACCCCATCCCACAAACAACAGTTGGTTCCTTTCTTCCACGACATTGTCCCGTTTCGTACACCACACATCCACACAGAGTCAGAGCACTGAACGGAAAATGAGTCGTTGAATTGGATTAAGGCAACGCTTTGGTCTCGAGGACATGACGGCTTTGTTTGAGCAGACGAATTATAGGCAAAGAAGAGGAAAAAGAGGACAAAATACGAGGGCATTAAGGATGCTTTCATGTTTCTCTCAGAAATGATAAGGGATAGTGTAAAATGGAAAGCAAAGCATTTCAAACCAAGTGCATGGGGTTGACGCTACGAGCCAATTGCCGGCTTCATGATTATCTTCTTTCCCATTATTTTACCTTTGAATTGTGGAAATTTTTTTAGACGGAAAATCCGAAGACAGACTATTGACAAGGACAACCGAAGACTAAAGAACCAAATTACTTGACCTTTTCATTAATTCCCAGCTACCAGATGAAAAACAAAATGATTCCAACCAACTTGTATTATTATTTAATTTTAAAAATAATTTTATTCGAACTTAATTAATTACAAGATATATTTATATCAATATTGAAAAAATTTTAACTTTATTTTATATGGGTTGTGAATTTTAGATCTACGAATTAAGTAAAAATAAGTTGTATAAGATCAGACTGGATTCTAAAGTACATCTGTTTTTAATTTAGGTTCTATTGAGAAATAATTGTGTAAAAATTAATTATAATTTTAATAGAATTATAATTAGATTATAATTTTTAGGGTAAACTACATGTTTACCTAAATTATCACTTTTGTTCCGATTTAGTACATCAACTTTCATTTTTTTTAAAAGCATATCTAAAGTTTATTTTTTATCTCATTTAATACCATGCCGTTAAAAAGTTAATGGCACAGCTGACGTGGTATTTATTATTTAGGTAAATTACATAATCCATCACTTAACTATCATTTCACTTCTATTTTTGATCACTAAAATTTAAAAAAAATCAATATATTCATTAAACTTTCAAAATACTTGTATATTGATCTCTCTTTGATGATACGGATTATATTATTATTATTTTAGTATGACATGATAAATTTATTATTATTAATGTCAAATAAAATTTTAAATCAAAATTTTAAATCTCCAAATCCTAACGACGATCTAAACTCATCCTTAACTACATCTTCATGAAACAAAGAATACCCAAAAACCCAGACTAGCCCTTGTTTTTTTTTTTTTCATTTCCTTCTCTTCCCTTGCATGAGGTAGTGTTATGATTGAGTGAAACTACACATAAAATAAAAGAAATAACCTTGCAGTCCATACCTATCTTCATCAAATTATTGTTCTTTTTTTTATTCTTTTCATTTTGATTTTATAACTAGGCCCGTGAAAGTAAACGTGGGATAATGCTGCTTTTGTTTGGTTTTTGATCTAGTGAAATGAGTTATCTTTATTTTGCCTAAAAAATAAGGGAAAATGCAAAAAAAAAGCATAAATAAAAACCTAGATTTTTGGTTTTGTTTTTGTTTCATACTCTTTATCTCTTCTTTATATTTTACTTTTTTAATAAATAATTACTTTTAAATAAATCCTTATAATTTTTAATATTTATATAATAAAGATAAATTTACTTACGGTGTGTTTCGATACGTCGTTTTAGTAATACGTTACTTTATGCGATGTGCGCTATAAACTTATCCATCAAATAAATTTATAATTTAATTTAGGGTAAAGTATAGTAATGATCACTGAATATTTCTGAAGCTTGTATTTAGGCCCCTCAACTTTTAAAACTTGCAATACAGTCCCCCAACATTTAATCTATTTGCAATATAGTCCCCGCACCTATGAAAATTAGGGTAAATTATATAAATGGTCACTAAACTTTTTAGGCACTTGAATTTAGGTCCCCTAACTTTTATAACTTACAAAACATTCCTCAATTTCATTCTAAACCCCAAATTCTAAAGTAATTCAATTTTATTCTAAACCCTAAATTCCAAAATAATTCAATTACATTCTAAAACTCAAATTCTAAAATATTTCAATTTAAGGAGGAATATACTAGATTATCTTTAAGAACGTCATAGCGTTTTGACTTTTTTACTTTTGTGAAGAAAAAAAATACACTCCCTCCTCGTAAATGTAAATTTAGTGATCTTCAATAATTTTGTTAAGTGTATTAGAAAATTAAAAAATAAATCGTGCTAGAACTAAAAGAATACGTGACCATGAAATAGAAAGTTTACGTACGTTACGAAAACATGACACAAACCTCATCTCTTTTAAGTTGATTATTATCATCAACATAGGGTATATTATATTATATTAAATTATTGATTATTTTATTTTATTTTTGAAGTAGTCAATTTCAGTGTTTATTTTTTATTGTGTTTTTTATGATTTTATTAAATAATTTTTCTACAAAAAATATTCGATGTAATAAGTAAATAAATATTTAATTATCATGGTAATATTTATATTTTAATTATAATAGAAATAATATAAAAATAAAATATATTTATACATCATTACTATAATTAACATAATTCATATATAAAATTTTGACTCAGCTATTTATGTAGTCTTAATTAGGGGTGTGCAAATCCGGATACCCGAAACTTTCGGGTCGACGATTTCTCGGCCCGTGTCCCGACCCAGATGTTACGGGTACCCGGTAATCGGGTACCCGGATTTTGCGGGTACCCGGTAATCGGGTACCCGATATCCGGTTTTTAATTTTTTATTTTCAAATTATTAATTTTAAAAAATATATACACAAATTTAAATGTTCGAAACTTCGAATTACATACTCTAATATCCGAACATAAAATTTAAAAGTTCGAAATACAAAATATAATAATCACAATATAAATAATTCATTATATTTTATATAATTATATATAAAAAAATAAAAAAAAAATAAAAACTAACCGGGTACCCGAGTACCCGGAAAAACTAGATTTTTTGACCCAGGCCCGACCCGGGAAATGTCGGGCCGGGTACCCGACCCAGCCGGGTAATTTTTTTTTAGAGAATTATCCGGTTTTTTTAGATCTGGGTCGGCGGGTCGGGTCAACCGGGTCGGGTAATTTTGCACACCCTTAGTCTTAATATTTATATGAAAGATATAAAATATATTAACACGTATGATTAGATATAAAAACATACACAAATAATCAGAAATATATTTATTTTTAAATAAATGAATAATTATCATATATTACTATTGAAAATTTTCATGTCTTTAAATTAATATTAAAAAATTATCATATGTTTTTAAATATAAAAAGTAAATTAATTAATAATTTAGTGACATTGGCGTCGTTTATATAAAAGAAAGAAATTGAAGTATTTTAGAATTTGAGTTTTAGAATGTAATTGAATTATTTTGGAATTTAGGGTTTAATGAAATTGAATTACTTTGGAATTTGTTGTTTAAAATGAAATTGAGGATTGTTTTGTAAGTTTTAAAAGTTGGGGACCTAAATTTAACTACCTAAAAAGTTCAGTGACCATTTATATAATTTACCCTAATTTTCATAGGTGCGGGGACCATATTACAAACGGATTAAATGTTGGGGACTGTATTGTAAGTTTTAAAAGTTGGGACCTAAATGCAAGCTTTAGAAATGTTCAGTGACCATTACTATACTTTACCCTTTAATTTATTAACATTCACTTTTCTCATTTCATCAAATTAATACTTTAGCATTTGATTAGCTTAGAATATCATTCAAATTTCTAACTTAATAAAGATAAAGATTCATATAGATATGGATAACAAAGTAAAATAAAATTCTTGAAAAAAAGAAGAAAATTCCGAGCGAAATGTTTCTGTACAACACGTGATCCCATAGTTTACAGTCTTTGGAAAAAAGAAACACGAATTTTACTCGAGGTTTTGTTCAAAACGACATACCGTTCTACCTATGATTCTCTCTTTCTGTTTTCGATTACGTTCGTCTTCCTTTGGTCGAATAAAATCCTTTTTTATTTCAAAATATCGGAAGGAATCAATAAATGGAGGAGAAGATAGAATACCCTAAAATTCTACATGAAGATTACCAGTCTAAGCTCTTCTCGGACCCGGTATTTTTTTCTTCTCTTTGTTAAATATCTGTTTGGTTGCCAAGAAAACCAAGGAAAAGGAGCTGGAAAGTTTGTAAATCTGTTTGTATTCTTTTCCAATTTGGGTTTTGTCCCAATGGCTAAATACATTTTATTTATTTCATTTGAGTGTTTATTATTTTTCTTTGCAAAGGTGTCATCTTTTTGTTTTCTCTCTGTTTTGGATTAATCGTTCTTCAGCTTCTCAAGGTGGAGAAATTTGTCATTAAGGGTTATTCTTAGTATTTCTTTGTGTAATAAAATTTGTAGGGTGTTATTGTAGTTTTAGTTTTATATCTCTTATGTAACGATCATGGAAGCTAATGTGGAACCATTAAGAACATTTTTAGCTTGGACATGGTGAACGGTTGGTCCTGGAATTTTCTGAGTAGTTGATCTTGCGCTTATCATATCGTATGCCCAAGATCGATTGCACTGTGTTAGCATTGCTGCATCGATGTGATTTCCAAGTATTTGAGCAAAGACATTGTTGAAACCATAGGTCATCTTCATATAGCCATAAATTCTATGTTGAAATATATCTAAATGATTAATGGTTTGAAGTCAATTTGTTTAGATTTCTTTGGATGTGCTTACAATCATTGCGGAAGACCCTATTTGTAGCCTATTTTGCTGCTGATATAATATGCTTATGTTGTTCTTTTGGTTTGTGGAATAGCTTGTTAATATTGGTGAATAGTAGCTACTCTGATTTTCTCTCATTGTTTGCTGGTTCAAGATAAAATAAAAGTAAAGCTTTTTTCGTTCTATTATGGTGATAGGATCTGGTAAAAGTGGAGGAATATAGAGAAGAAAGCAATCCGATCAATAAAAATGTTGTGCAAGATGGAAAGCAGCTTAAAAGATCTAAGGGTGCAGTAGATCCTATCGTTAGCAGGCGCAATGACATGGCAATTGTTTCAGGCCTTGGAAACCAGAAACAAGGAAAAGTATTTTACTATGATACCCCAGTTTCCGAAGAAACTGGAGTTTGGGCACCTGTGTCTGTTCCTCCTATGACTGAAAATAAACATGAAGAATGGGATAGAGGCCTCTTTCTGAATGGAGGGCACTTTCCTGATGATGGTTTAGGCTCGAATCAGTTTACAGGAGACAGTAAGGATCTGACCATGTGGGATGTGTTCAGTGAGATGTTAATAGCTGCTCGAGGCAAAGTGAGTGCTATTGCTTCAGGTGACGATCAAAGACGCGGGATCGCTTGGTTATCCAACCATCTTCTTGAACAAACTTGGAACGAGATGGCTCAAACACTTGCAGAGGCTAATTTTGGTAACTTCAATGAAATACTTGAAGCAGAGCTGCCGAAATGGTTGGCTGACAGTGCTGCTTCCGCTTGCATGCTATGTAACGTGCGGTTCCATCCTATCATGCGCTCCCGTCATCATTGCCGTTTTTGCGGTGGGATATTCTGCAACGAATGTTCCAAGGGGCGGAGCCTGTTACCAATGAAATTCTGCATGGGGAACCCACAAAGAGTATGTGATGTTTGTTGTGTGCGGCTTGAGCCCGTCCAGCCATACTTGATGGACCGGGTAAGTCGTGCTGCTCAGTTGCCAACCCATGATCTGACAGACCTCAGTACGTTAAGATCTTGGCTTAATTTGCCTTGGGTACAATCAATGGAACATGAGATTTATAAGGCTGCAAATACTATTAACAATTACACAAAGGTAATGTCTCACTTTTTAATTTGCACTCATTTAGATTAATACTTGAAAGCATTCATCTCATAAGACCATTTCATGACACATTGGTTACTTTACAAAGGTTGGGTCCTTGAAACCTGAGAAGTCCATACCAGATGCTATTTTGAGACAAGCAAAAGGCCTTGCAATTCTTACTGTTGCAAAGGTTGGGGTTATAGTGACATACAATATTGGAACGGGACTGATTGTTGCTCGTAGAGATGATGGATCTTGGTCTCCACCATCAGCAATAACTTCCTTTGGTGTTGGCTGGGGAGTTCAGGTAACTCGATATTGTCCGTTGTTCAATAATTGTTCAACTCCGGCAATATTTTAAAACCTTGGTCCTTGTGGAATATGATGTTTGTGTTTTCTTAAAGGCTAAAAAGGAGAAATAATTTTTCTCATCTTCACCGATTATGATGATGAAACCATTTTGATTATCATTTAACATCATCTTTCACAAGATTGAATGTATAGTTCCAATTTGACTCGGTGTACCTATACCTATTTTCCTACTATTTCTTGAATCTAACAGGCTGGAGGTGAATTTACGGATTTCATTATTGTACTGAGAAATGAAAGTGCTGTTGCAACATTTAGTGGAAACATGCATTTATCAGTTGGAGCAGGTTTGAGTGCAGCTGTTGGCATTATTGGGCGAGCTGCTGAAGCCGACATTCGTGGGGGCTCCGGAGGTTATGCTGCTTGTTATACATACAGCTGTAGTAAAGGTGAGATTTCTTTCCGTGACAAACCTTTGATTGGATTTATTAGTTTCCATAGTTTTGTTTTGTTGCTTGGAGTCTGGGCAGCCGGTCGGAGTTATTTCCCATTTTATCTTCTCTACCCAGTAGAAAATAGGTGCCCACTGGGATTCAGTTTTGATACTGGAAGAAACCCTTCCTACTTTAGAGAGATTGATGGAGTAGAAAACGGGTAAAGGTCTATGTTTTAAAACCTTGCATGTCAAGCAAACCCATGGAAATCAGATTTTTTTGAGATAGTGAAGACTTTCCAAGGTCTTGTGGACCTGTAGAGTTAGATTTGGCATCTGAGTGCCTGCTTGGAAGTATGAAGTCATGAAAGACATGCTTACTTAACCTTATATGCACCATTTCCCGCTTCATGAGTGCCCACATTCTAAATACCGAGCTTATGATCTTGTGACGTCTTGGTGTACTCTGCAGGTGCATTTGTGGGGTGTTCACTTGAAGGAAGTGTAGTGACAACTCGAAACCAAGAAAACCGTAGATTTTATGGTAATCCATCTATCACTGCATCAGATATTCTGCTCGGTTCGTTGCCTATGCCTCCAGCTGCGTCCACTCTTCATCAAGCTCTCTTGAATCTATTTGAAAAGCTCGAGAGGTGATTGGTTCTTTGGTTCATTTAAAATATTCTACGTTTTCGTCATGATAATTTACCGGAGGAAGGTGCCTCGTATCCATATGTATATTCTTCTCCTCCTATATAATGAACTTAAACATGCATTCTCTCGTAACGGGCTGATTTGTTACAATTAGTTGTATAGTTCAGGGAAATGTGGAAACTTTCATTTAAATATGAGTCGAATGAGCATGTTCAAAGTGCTTTATTTGAGTTAAATCGTTTTCGCGTTCAACTGCTTCAATCCCGGGGGTGGTGTATATTAGAAAGAAATGGATTATTAGGTAATGATTTAATGTTCATCGACCTCGGATAAAAACAATTCAATATCTTTCTCAACGATTCCTATATTGACAATTTAGGATTGTGTGGGTTTCTGATTTCGAAAATAACATCTAATTCTGATTTGTAATTAGATGTTCCTTTCTATTAAAGGTTTTCCCCCCATTATTTTTGGATTTTTTTAGGATAAAGTACACAAATGGTCCCCCGACTATAGAGATGTTTTGTTGAGTCACTTGACTATTAAAAGTTAAAAAATGGTCATTCGACTATAGGGTGTTGTTTTTTTGAGTCTCCCGACTATTAAAAGTTACAAAATAGTCATATGACTATTTAATATGTTCTAAACTCGTCTTTTTTAAATTAAAAATTTGACGACAATCTAAGTTGGATGTTAACTTGATGATTGAAATATGATAAAATTTGATTCCAAAATATGAAAAAAAAAATAATATTATATCTCAGTTAACAAATTAACATCTAATTGAGACTGTTGACAATTTTTAACGAAAAATGATAAATTTGAAACATACTAAATAGTTGGGTGACCATTTTGTAACTTTTAATAATCGATGACTCAATAAAACAACACCCTATAGTTAAAAGATTATTCTATAACTTTTAATAGTTAAGGGACTTAATAAAGCATCACCCTATAACCGAGGGACTATTTATGTACTTTACCTTTTTTTATATTAAAGTATAATCAAAATAACAAGGCAAAAGAAGAGGATTTCGATAATGAAGCATAACAAAATGATACTGTCAAAGTTTGTAATGCACAATAGAAAATAATAAAATTTTAACCTATCATAATTCTCACAAAAGAACTGGGCATTTCTTCTAATGACAACCTAACTGAAGACCAATAAAACAATCAAATCACTGTTCTTTCTTTAAAGAAAAATTATGAAACTAAGTAGGAAAGGGCGGCGGCTGATTACGAGGCTATGAAACTACCTCGGTGCCTTGAGAACAAACTATATATATAATTCAGAGTTAAATTTTCAAAAATTAATGAAAGCTAAAACAAGGGCGAGTGATGGCTCAGGCGCACCTCCATCCCTTTTTTTCCGGACTGAACAAACATGGGTCAAAGTTCATGCTAAGACAGTGGTTTTTTTTTCACACGGATTGCTTTATCTGCATGACAATGCGACTTGGTAAAGTAGTAGTCGATTTTAGCTAATATATTCGATAAGCTTTCGAACTGCCAAGAGTGAGTTCTAGATCATCTGATCCACATTCTTCATGTATTCTCTCCCCTTCCCATGGCTTCACTATCCCAGTTGCATTACTTCCAAATGCAAACTCATCTGAAATTGCTTCAGACATTGGACCATCAGCTGTATGATCTAATCCTCCAGCAATTGCCGGAGAACATGTCCCACTTTGTCCGGGAGTCCACATGCAGGATCCCCCACCGGCTAAAACTTCCTCCTTGAAGCCGAAGGGGTTTGAGGAGACAAGACTGAATGTGGGAGACGTTGGCCGGCTATGAGGGGTTCGGAGCCTAGCAAACCATTCTGGGTCGGGAACAATATGCCGACCAGTGCTAGGGGGAGTTGAAGGTAGGAAAGATTGCTGTTGTGCACTCCAACTTGGATGGGTGGACTGGTACTCCCAATCATTTTTTATTCGTGGGGTTCGAGCGGTTGGTGAGCTCAATGGAGGGGTGACAGGAGCACTAATAGAACCACCGTGAATGTAGCTATAGGGGCGCTTCGAAGAGGAGGCTGATGAGAGGTTTTTGAGCCAGGGGAAAAGAGAGTTCACATCACCATTGGGATTAACCACATAAGAAGAAGAAGCTGGGCTTGGAAAGGATGATGATGCAGGGCTTGGGTTGTAAGAAGCAAAAGGGCTTGGTTGGTAAGACGAACAGGGGCTCACAGTTGCAGATCCACCAACTATATCGATGCGCTCCACAGGCTTGCAACCCTGCCAAAATTAAATTTTTTATCAGTTCCCTAAAAGCACATGTAACAGATCAATTACCATTACTGCAAAGTATGCTCAACTTTGGAAATAAGAAATTTTAAACAAATAACACCTTGGAAAACCAAAACTCATTCCAGGGTTTTATTACACATGTAATTTGAGCACTTACTTCTTATGTCATTTATTCCACCATAGTAGGGCATCATTATATTCACTCCATCTTTCTTTTCCAACCCTATTATCTTACTTTCCATCTTAAATCATTTCATCTGTGAATAACATCAGTTGATTTGATCTTATTAATTGTGTCACATATTAATTCTTGTTTCCATCGCATGCCAGACTCACAATATCTTCCCTGAAAAACTCATATTTCTGTGCTATGATAAAAGAAAAAGAAGCATGGTCTTCATAAATTCTTGTAACAAATTTATCCTCAATTTGCTTAGGAGCAAAGACAACTGCTTTATGCATGATAAAAACCTCAGTTCTCCCTTTAAGCCGCATTTCTAAGATATGGTCCATCGGATTTTTTCCCTCAAAATTCTACACAACAAGGGGCCTTACTAATTAAAGTATTTGAGTAATTAAACAAAGAACGCCAAAACAAGTTAAAATGTGGTACTGATTTGGCTAAAAGGTATTGTAATTTACCAATAAAGTCAAGAAGCCAAAAACAAAAAAAAAACCATATATATATATAACATAAAATGGGCCAAAACCTATATAACATGATTATTAAGTTATAAAAATATATCTAAATATAGAACACCTTAAACACAATTATAACAACAACAAAAAAAACTACAAACAAACGGATTGCCAAGTCTGAAAAACCCCATATGATTATATGAGCAACTGAAAATGAAAGTTATATCTCAAAGTGGAAAACTGTTCAAAATCCCTGGAAAAGGACTCTTTGTTACTTAGCAATTTAAAAAAAGGTCTAAAAAGAATATCAAACCTCTCTGTAAGCTCACATGGTGGCAAGGTGCAAAAAACTACCCTCACAATCATCATTTTAACAAGGGTAGTTAGGTCTTTTTCTCAAGATCTATGCAATTTGGGTTATTTTTTAAAATTGGGATGATCAGTCCCATGTTCTTCCTCATCTGGAATAGTGGAATACTACAAGTTATACGGAATATGGCCATCAAAGAAAGAGAAGAATCTTTCGTTGGTACTTCACGGCTCACGCGTTGGCTAAAGTGAAAGTGAAAAAAATACAGAATAAAAAATAAGTACAAAAATAGAGGGCTGACCAGATCTCTATAACGTACAATTGGAGAGGACTGATAAAATGACGCATTTAACCTTGATCCAACAAAGAAAACTAACGCCGTTAGTAAAATACTAACGCAGGTTCAGACCGTGCATGTTAGCAGATAAAACCAGATCTTCCCGTTTCTACGATATCAACATTCGGCCGGGACCGGCGTATGCTAGCACCACGGGGACACTTCCGTTGATTAACAAACACCGCAAAAAGCGGCACAAATTAGAATACAGACCGCAGTTTAACTTGATTTCCTTTTCCTTTGTGAATATTAATTTATTATTACTACACTAGAAACTACAATCTTCGTGCTAAAAGCCTAAAATAAGTCATACAAATTCAATAAAAAAAGTACAATCTCAATGATACGACCTCCGTCGTGCTAAGTTATGCAGGAAATAAGCAAATTTCCGTTGCTTCGATATTTCAAAAATTACAAACAAAATAACACAAACAATTTTGAAGTTCAAACAAGCTATTAATAAACGCAATTTTCAGCTATTTATCATTTCAACAAGATATTAACCGTTCCATCAGCATTATCTTCATCTGTTTCATACTCAGATTAATCGATAAAATGAATGACAGAAAAAAATAAGGTGATGATAGTAATTTACCTTACGATAAGTAGTGCCATCGGGTTCGACAGTCCAACCGGCCTCGTTACAGAGAGCTTTGAGAACTTCATTGTTATCGCAGTGCTTCGGAAGCTTATAGTTACCGTACATCCGAAGTCCGGCGAAGATCTTCGCTGCTATTGCTCTCCTCCGCCGCTCTCTCCGCTTGTTATTCTCTCTTTCTTTCCATGTCGGTAGCCTCGTTCCAGACGTCATTTCAAAGCAAAGGGAAAAGCCGAAGCTAGAACTATTGAATTTATAGAAAAAAATTTGTCTGGTCGAAAGAAAAACAAACAAAAAAATAGAATTTGAGAAAAAATAATGAAAGAAATTAAAGGAAAACTAAGATTCCTCCGCGCGGTGAATTAAGCGGAAGGTGAGGTTAAAGCGATGGATTTCGCTTCAACGACTCAGTTTCCACTGTAAATGATATGAAGAAGGATCTCTAGTTTCTAAATTTTAGATCGACGACCGGAGATATAAAACGCCGGCGTTTACTGACGGGTGAATTGGAGGGGAAGTGTAGAAGCAGATTTGATTGAGATCCAGACGGAAGTGGATTCGGATTAACGGATGGACCGGAAACAGACCGGGAAGAAGGAAATGGTTTTTGGATTGTTAAAGTTGAAAACCCGGGAAGAAAACGGAAGATGTATCTTTGATAGGAAGCTTAAAATGGTAGCGCTTGGAAATGGTCAGTTAAAACTGCACTGATTGGATATCATTACCCTTCATCTCTTTTCAATATACAACTTTGCCACTAATAATTGAACATTTTATTAATAATTATTAAAAAAAGTATCCGCCTACCAAATTTTAATTTTGACGATGAACGTTATTATTAAAATAAACGTAAATGTTAACGTATTTAAATATATCATAAACCAATCAAAAATGTATATAATAAAACATATTGTATATTAAAATATATAAAATTTGATATTTGAACCTATTTTTTTTTAGATGAATATACGCATTTCATTCCAACTCCACAAACTTGATTCAATCACCTATACCACCTATACACCTCAGAGCAGTTCATCAAGAAAGAATTAAAGAATCAAACAAATAACTAATAAGCCAAACAAGTAATCAAGATAAAAAAAACTGAACCTAGCAACCCCACGCCAAACAGAGAGCCATATTAACCTCCCCGCCTGCTATAAACTTCGTTCCTTGCAGTCGTATTGTAACAAAATTCTTAATTTGTACAATCAACTCATTAACCGTGGCCGACACACCAAGGAAATACCTACGATTCCGTTCTCTCCAAATACGAGCAATATAGCAATTCCAAGCAAGTTTCAACAATGAGGACAGCAAGGACTTACCTCGTAAGCAGTCGCAAGCTCAAATAAACTCATCATTCCAATCCAGCACCCCACGTTGCAAATGGCAAAGTTGCGAGATGCGTTCCCACACAGCCTTTGAAAAGCTACAAAGAACAAACGGTCTCTATATTCCTACTCGGTTGAGCAAAGCTCACAAACCCCGTCTACCTACATTCCGAACGAGAGATGAGCCTGTCCTTTGTGGGTAGTCTATTTAAAATCGCCATCCAAGCCAAGACTGAAACTTGGTAATGTGACCAAAGTGCCACACAAGCCTCTCCCAAAGTACCTTATCCATTTTCACCCTTATCTCATTCCAATTCCTCCGGGTGGAGGAGACCAAATCAGTAAGCAGATTCTAAACCTGGATCGCTCTCGACCTAAGCTACAATAAACCCTTCCAAGACCAACTGCAATTCTGAGGGCAAGACAAATTCCAAAAGGAATTGTCTTTTATAATATAGGCATGAACCCATGCAACCCAAATGGAGCCATCCTTAAGCACAAGCTTCCTGATCAACCCAACGATACAAGCATGGTTCCAAGTTTTGAGGTACTTGAGCAGAAGGCCTCACTCCGCCTTAGGGGAACAAGTTTGAGCCCAGCTAACCCTTGCACCCTTAACCGCCTTATTTTCCCCCTTCCAAAAGAATCTCGAACAAAGTTGATTCATCCTCTTTATAATCGCCCAAGAGAGCAACACTCAACTCCCCCAGTAATTTTTAATGCTATAAATAACCACACAGATAAGCTGAAGCCTACCAGCATACGAAAGAAGTTTGGCCTTCCAACTTTGCAGCCTAGTCGCAATCTTTTCAATCAACGGACCACAGTCCCTAACAATGAGTCTCTTGGCAATGAGGGGAGTGCCAAGGTACCTAACCAGAAGTTTGCCACTACGAATACCCGTAACCTCAGAAATCTCATGCAACTCTTCAGCCCCAATCCTTGAGGAGAACATCTCAGACTTGCCCGAGTTCAATTGCAAACCAAAAAAACTTATGAAAAGTCTTAAGAACCTCCAGACTCCAGTAACAGAACCGATAGTCCCCTTCGAGAAGACTAGCAAATCATCAGTAAAACAAAGATTCATCAATTTTACCCTATGACATTTTGGGTGGTATTGCATCACACCATGCTCAGTTGCTCTATCCAAAAGCTTAGATAAAACATTCATCGTAATCGCAAAGAGATAAGGGGATAAAGGATCCCCAGCCTCACCCCTTTAGCCCCTTTAAAAAAGCCAACTAAACCTCCATTGTGAGAAACAGAGAAAGACGCAGATGTGACACACGCCTTAATCCAAGCAATCATCACCTTAGGTATTTCAAGAGCTTCCAACACAACAAACAGAAATGCCCAATCCACCGAGTCGAAAGCTTTCTGTAAATCCAACTTTAACGCACAACGTGGTGAGAGGGAAGAGCAGTTATACCCTTTCACCATCTCTTGCGCCATCAAGGTATTATCCATAATACTTCTACCCGGAATAAACACACTCTGACTAGTCTAAATGACCTCAGGTAGGAAGCATTTCAACCTCGCAAGAATAATGCGTGTAACCTCGAATGCTCAAAGATATACAACACCATCTGAGTCAAATCCTCTCGACAATATCCCACGCAACCTTAAAAAAGTGGAAAGTGTATCCATCCTGCCTCAGAGCCTTATCGGCATCTTAAGCAAACATAGCAGCTTTAACCTTCTCCCTAGAAACCCTCTGTTGCAAATAATCCGTCGCAGAAGTAGAAAAAGTAACACCCAGAATTTCCTTAAGGAGACTTACATCCACACTAGTAACAGAACTATCATGAACACCAAGCAAATTCCTAAAAAAACCCAATAGCATCCAAAGATATTTGCTCCTGAGAATCCAAACATTGACCCTGATCATTAAAAAAGGCACGAATCATCTGCATATTCTGCTTAACAGCCATCATATAATGGAAAAATCGAGAATTCGGATCCTCATCCTAAACCCATTGAACTCTACCTTTCTGCTTAAGGAAGCTCTCCTCAGCACTAGACAGTCTCTGAAACTCAGCCATGGCCTCCCTCTGACGAGCCAGCAGCCCTCTATCCAGAGGAGAAGCGAGAACCTCCAATTGAATCTGCTCAAGCTCAGCTTTCTTACGCTTAACCTGTAGGGAAATGTGGCCGGACTTACACACGTTCAAACTCTGTAAAATTGGCTTTAAGCCTCTTAAGCTTAAGAAAAAAACAACTTTTAGGATCACTAGTCAGCAAAGGCTTAGTCCAATTAGAACCAACAATCCTAAGGAAATCAGAACCCTTAGTCCAAAAATTAAAGAAACAAAAAGGCTTAGGTAAAGACTTCTGCACCTCACCAAGTCTCACCAAACTAGGGCAGTGATCAGACTGACTCGGAGCAATAAACTCAACTTGAGCATGAGGAAAAATCAACATCCAAGAAGTAGAGACCATCACTCTATTCAACTCCCGAGCTAAAAAAACATCTTGTCGATTAGACCAAGTGAAGACAGGCCCTCTAAAAGCAAGGTCCAACAAACTAATAGAACTCGAACTAACAAACTCCTCAATATCACGAGCAAGTGAACTCCCGATCGGCCCTGAACTCTCCTCAGGAGAATCCACAATGTTAAAATCCTCTTTCACTACCCAAGGATCATCCCCAACAATGTTTTTAAGATTAATAAGATGTTTCCAGAGCCTCACTCTATCAACCCCCAAATTGCAACCATAAACACCAGACACATAAACCTTGGTGTCACCAATACGAACTAACCCTGAGATACACTGATCAGAGATTTCCACCTCCACCACATCAATCGCATCTTTGCATAAAAACCAAATCCTACCCAAATTCGAGCAGACATAATTATGGAACCCTTTCCATCTAGAAAAATACTTCCCCCAAACAACTTGCTTATTCACCTCTCTAAGCCTATTCTCCAACAAAGAAACCAAATCAACATTAAGATTACGAATTTTCTCCAAAACACGCACTTGTTTCTGGGGGTTATTGAAACCCCTCGTATTCCGAAAAATGAACCGCATCCTCAATCAGGAGAGGAAGAAACCCCTTGTTTTTTACCCCTGCGAGCATTCTTCTTATTTTTCTTCATTCCATGCATCAATGCCACAACCTCGTTAGCAGCCTCAAGACCCTGTTGAATCTCATTAGGAGAGGAAATAAGCTGCTCAACAATCAGCTTCCCATTTCCACTAACCACAAGATCAACCAAATGGGAACTATGAACCATAGTAGCATCTAAATCACCTCCATTACCCAATGACTGACCACTTGTACCCTCAACAATAATATGTTCTGCAATTGAATTCAACTCTTGCACAATCTGATCCCTCAGCGCAGCAACAAACCCATCCTCCACGGGAGCTGAAATAGCTCCAGCACTGCACAGAATCACATCACTATGAGCAGTATCTCCTACAGCTTGTTCACAAGCAACAGTAACAGGCTCCTCACCATTTCCCTCTATAGAAACACCAGCACCAGCTTTTGGAACCCACACCTATTGACCCAACTTCAAGTGTTTACAACCTATCACTGTGGCCAAATACACGAAAATTGAAGCATCTAGAAGGAACCCATGGAATTACCACTTCAATAGCTGCCATAAAACCATCACGGAGTTGAACATTTATGTATTTAGGCACCCTAAAAGCAGCATCCATTTCCACACAAACTTTAGCAAACGCCACCCGGTGCCTATGAGCAGTGAATTCGTCCATATACAGGGGTGTCAGGTGTGCCAAGAGCACTAGCTATATAGCTCAACCCTAAGCCAGTAAATAATTCCAAAAGAATACAATTGAGACGGGGATTATCTCGGGAAAGACGGATTAATATACGGTATTATTAGATATATTAAAAGATATTTGATAAATTTGATTTAGCGTTATCGGAAATATCGAGTAATAATAATGTAATAGATGGAAATCATGAAGAAATATTAAAAAATTTGGTAACCGGCAAATTTAGTTTGTCGGTTTGTGTCGATACTTTATAAAAATATATTAATCCATAATAATATAACAGGTAAAAAAATGACAAAACCGGTATATAAATGACAAAACAGGTAAAGCGCTACCGGATATATTGAAAGTGTCGATATTTTATAAAAATATATTGATCCATAACAATATAACAGATAAAAAAATGACAAAACCGATCTATAAATGACAAAACAGGTAAAGCGCTACCTGATATATTGAAAGTGTCCATACTTTATAAAAATGTATCAATCCATAACAATATAACAGGTAAAAAAAATGACAAAACCGGTCTATAAATGACAAAACAAGTAAAGCGCTACCGGATATATTGAAAGCGTCGATACTTTATAAAAATGTATCGATCCATAACA